AACAACTGGGAAGGAATGGATCACCAAGCAACCCATTACCACAATTCATCCAATAAGAAATAATATTAATAGCCACATAACTATTAAGGAAATTAAATCTGGAATTTTAAAACTCCAAAAAAGAAACCTCCAGGCCCAGATTGTTTCACTAAAGAAGGCTATCAAACATTTAAAAAAGAATTAACACCAATTCTACACACTCTCTTCTAGAAAAAGAAAAGGAGGGAACACTTCCCAATTAATGTTATGAAGCTATAATTACTCTGATATCAGACCAAGACAATACAAAAAACCTACAGGCCAATATCCCCCATGAATTGACAGAACATCTACAAAAAAATCTGCCTCTGTGATGAAAGACCGAATGCTCTCCCCTCAACATCACAAACAAAGCAAGAACATCTTTTTTTTTTTTAAGATTTTATTTATTTATTTGAGAGAGAGAGAGAATGAGAGATAGAAAGCACAAGAGGGAAGAGGGTCAGAGGGAGAAGCAGACTCCCTGCTGAGCAGGAAGCCCGATGTGGGACTCGATACCGGGACTCCAGGATCATGACCTGAGCCGAAGGCAGTCGCTTAACCAACTGAGCCACCCAGGCGCCCAAGAACATCTATTCTTACCACTCTTATTCAAATAATGCTTCAAGTCCTAAACAGCACAAATAAGGCAGCAAGAAAAGGCAAACAGATTGGAAAGAAAGAAATAAAACTGTCTCTATGTGCAAATGACACGATTTTCTATGAAGACCATCCCAAGGAATCTACTAGGAATCCCAACTTCAAGAATAAATGAATTCAGCAAGGTCAAAGGACACAAGATAAATATATAAATATCAACTGTATTTCTATGTTAACATGAATATGTGGATGATAAAATTAAAAATATAATTTACAATTGCTTAAAAAAATGAAACGGGTATAAATCTAACATGCAAGACTTGTATGCTGAAAACTACATAATACTGATGAAAGAAATGAAAGAAAATATAAAGAAAGGGGGAGAGACACCACGTCTGTAAGCTGGAAGACTCAACATACTAGAGATTTCAATTCTCCCTAAACTGATACAGATTTAATGTAATCCCTATTAAAATCCTAGCAAAATTCTTTGTAGATAGAGACAAGACTATTCTAAAATTTATAATGAAAAGCAAAGGAACTAGAATAACCAAATAATTTTTGAAAAAATAAGAACAGGGGCACCTGGGTGGCTCAGTCAGTTAAGCATCTGCCTTCAGCTCAGGTCATGGGATCGAATCCCATGTCGGGTTCCCTGCTTGGTGGCGAGCCTGCTTCTCCCGCTTCTCCCTCCTCTCCCCGCCTGTGCTCTCTCTTGCTATCTCTGTCTCTCTTTTAAATAAATAAAATAAATAAAAAATCTTAAAAAAAAAAAGAAAAATAAGAATAAAGTGAGAAATACCAGTCCACTCTATTTCAAGACTTATACAGCTACAAGAATCAAGACTGTGTGCTAATAGGGACCCACAAATAGATCCACACAAATATACTCAACTGCTTTTTGACAAAGTGCAAAAACAATTCAATAGAGGATAGACAGCATTTTTAACAAATGGTGTTGGAGCATCCATAAGCCAAAAAATGACACTTGATCTAAGCCTTACACCTTATACAAAAACTAACTCAAAACGGGTCAGGGGCTTGGGGCTCCTGGGTGGCTCAGTTAGTTAAGAGTTTGACTCTTGTTTTCAGCTCAGGTCATGAGATGGAGCCCTGCAGCGGGGCTCCACCCTCGGCAGGGAGTCTGCTTGAGATTCTCTCTTTCCCTCTCCCTCTGCCCTTTCCTCCGTTCACACTCTCTCTCTAAAATAAATAAATAAAACCTTTAAAAAAAAATAAACGGGTCATGGGCTTAATGTAAAATAATAAACCATAAAACTTTTAGGAAAAAAAATGAGAAAACGTTTGGGATCTAAGGTTAGGCAAAGAATTCTAAGACTTAACACCAAAAGTATAATCCATTGGAGGAAAAACTGTTAAAACAGATTTCATCAAAATTAAAAACTTTTGCTCTGCAAAGGAGTCTTTTAAGAGGACATGAAAAAAAAAACAGACTGAGAGAAAACATTTGCAAACTACGTATCAAGAAAGGACTGCCACCAGACATATTTTTAAAAAAGAAAAAAAACCCTCTAAAATCAACAGTAAAAAAATCCAATTAGCAAACGGGCTAAAGAAATGAAGAGACACGTGTTGTGATAAGCACTAGGTATTATATGCAACTAATGAATCACTGAACACTACATCAAAAACTAATGATGTACGATGGACTCTGAAAAACAAACTGAGGTTTCTAGAGGGGAGGGGGTTGGGGGGATGGGTTAGCCTGGTGATGGGTATTAAAGAGGGCACGTTCTGTGTGGAGCACTGGGTGTTATGCACAAACAATGAATCATGGAACACTACCATCAAAAACTGATGATATATGATGATTAACATAACAAAAATTTTTTTTAAAAACTAATGATGTACTATATGTTGGCTAACTGAACATAATAAAAAATAAGAAATGAAGAGACATTTCACTGAAGAGAATATGCAGATGACAAATAAGCCCATGAAAAGATGGTAAACATCATTAACCATTACAGAAATGCAAATTAAAACCACATACCTGTCATACATACATACATATCTATCAAAATGTCTAAATAAAAAATAGGAACACTAAATGCTGATGAGGATTCGGGGAGACTGACCCCACATACATTGCTGGTAAGAATGTAAAATGGTGTAGAAACTCTGGAAAACAATTTTAACAGTTTTTCATCAAAATTAAACATGCGGGACACCCGGGTGGCTCAGCCGGTTAAGCATCTGCCTTCAGCTTAGGTCATGATCCCAGGGTCCTCGGATGGTGTCCCGCATCAGGCTCCTTGCTCAGCCGGGAGTCTGCTTCTCCCTCTGCCGCTCCCCCTGCTCTCTCTTTTTCTCTCTCTCTGACAAATAAATAAATAAATAAAATCTTTTAAAAAACAAAACAAAAAAACTAAACATGCAACTGCCATGGGAACCAGCAACTATACTCCTGGGCATTTATCCCAGAGAAATGAAGACTTATGTTACATGACATGTTACTGTACTGGAATGTTTACAGCAACATTATTCATAGTAGCCCAACAATGGAAACAACTAAGTGTCCTTCAGACAAAGTGTGATACATCCATACCATGGAATACCACTCAGCAATTAAAAGGAGCAAACTTATGACACATGCAAGCACCTGGACGAAATCTCCAGAGAATTTTGCTCCATGAAAAAAATCCAATCCCAAAAGGTTACATACTATGTGATTCCGTTATATACCAGTGTTAAAATGAGAAAATTATAGAAATGAAAAACAGATTAGTGGTTGTCAGGGGTTAAGGAGGAAGTGGGGTAGAAATGAAGTGGATGTGGTATAAATGGACAACCTGAGGGATCCTGTGGTGATGGAAGGTTCTTTATCTTCACAGTTATCAATAGCAATGTCCTGGTTGTGGTCTTGTACTGCAGTTTTGCAAGATGTTATTATTGAAGAAAACTGGATAAAGGGTACAGGGGATCTCTATTATTTACCAACTGCAAAACCACATCTGAATTCTCAATTACCTCAAAATAAAAAGTTAAATTAGAAAATAAAGGTAGCATTATTGCAAAATAAGTACAGCAATTGACAAGAAATCCAACACCAATTAAATGAAGTGCTCTCTTTAGCCCAAGTTTAATTCTGACGATTACTCTGAATCAGAGTTTATAAAACACATTTTCCTCACCTACATATGCACACCAAGCAACTGTAACACAGTTCAGACAGAAAAACAGATTTCTCTAAACAGGTGATAAAGTGGAAAGAGACCTGGGCTGTATCAGGGAGAAAAGTCCTTATCCAGGCTCTATCAAAGAAACGCTGTATAACTTCCACACATCACCTTACCTCTATGGCTACAATCTGAACTCTGTTCCGACTATCTAAACTAATTTAGGAGATTGCTTAGACCAGTAGTTCCCAAACATTTTGGTCTCAGGCCCCCAAAGAGCTTTCACTTACCTGGATTACAAACAATATTTACAGCATTACAAATTAAAAGAGAATTTTTTTAAAAAGACAAGTACACACATTAGCCCTCAGAATGGTGAGGTCATCCCACCTCATGAAGTCTCTGGAAAACTCAATGCGTACTTAGAAAGAGGGTGAAAAGGGCAAATAACTGCTTGGTATTGTCATAAAAATAATTGTGACCACACCTTGGGAACCACTGGCTTACCATCAAATGAGGTAAATATTTAAGTGATTTTAAAAGTATAAAACATTGAACAAATCATTGAACAAAATATACATTCTTTTAATATTCAAGGGTGCCAAGGCAAAGAAAAAAAAAAGCTCAAATCCTGATGGAGGACAACTTGGACAAGCGCACAGTTGGTAAAAAGAGGGAGCTTCTTGAAAGTCCAAGGAAGGTGGGCTCCAGTGAGTATAGTCAGGGAAGAGTGTACAACCGTAAAATATTACACTACTATTGCATTAATCTGCTCTGTGCGTCCAAAACCGTTATAAAAATGATGGACCCACAATCACTGTTTCAGATTTAACTTTTGGCGAGACAGGGAAGCAATGAAAAAACTTCCAGCCACTCCAGCACCGCGCTCTCGGCGAGCTGTGGGGGTCCGACCTGGGCCCAGCTTCTGGGGGCGAGGTACAGCCACGCCGGACGTCTCCTCCGCTGCAGCAGGAGAAAGAGAATCCCCCTATCCCCAGCCGGGTCGGAACAGCCGGCCGCGGGAGCCCGGAGAGTGGGCAGTAGGGCTGGGGAGGGGCGCGGCTCACAGTCGCCGCCTGAACTGGACGCGGCCGGGACTGGGCTGCGGGCCCTGAGCCCCGGGCTAAGGAAATTACGCTGGGACCCCGAGAAAAGCGGGGCGGGGGTCCTGGGAGCTGGGCCCTTGGGGGAGGGGGCAGCGCTGAGCAGCGGAGGGGGCTTGAGGGGTCGACCGGGACTCACCAGGTGCCGCGCCACCTCAGAGGTCATGGTCCCGAGCGAGAGTTGAGCGAAGGCGGGGGTCCCAGTGAAGCGGGGGTCTCAGCCCAGGCCCCCGAGCAAGCGACCGGACCACGAAGGGAGCAAAGGGGGGGCCGGAACGGATGGAACGTGCAGGGCGCGGGCCGGAGGCGGGTGTAACGGGCGGGACCAGCCTCCGGGGGGGGGGGGGGTGGCGGGGGGGGGGGGGGTGTTCAGGGAAAGGGGAGGAGCCAAGCCTAGTGGCCGCAGTGACGCGAGGGCGCAGAGCCGGAGGGCGGAGGCCCCACCAGGCAGGGCGCGCGCCATTAGCCGCGCCAAATCGTTGAGCGGCGCGCGAAGCGAGCCTCTCATAGGAGTGCCCCTCGACGTCTCATAGAACGACAAATCCATGCAGGGGGAGGGTGACTGGAGGAGATTCGGGACCTGAGAAGAAAATGCGAGGAAACAAACCTCGGCCAGCAGACAGCAGCGGGCTGGCGCACTGATTGCGGGCCCCCGCGAAGGCCGGAAGTGGGCGGGCCATGGGGCGGGGAGGGGGCGTGTCCGCCGGCGGCCGGCGGGAGCCGAGCTTGCGGCCAAAGGGGGGACCGGAAGTGGGCGGGCTCGGGGGCGGGGTGCAGCCGGCGGGGGCGGGGCCGGCGGGGGCGTGTTCGCCCGGGGCGCGGCCCCAGTAAGGCGGTGGTGGCGTCTCCCGCCGCGGACACCCAGGCGCGGACCCTGAGGAGCCAGCCGATTCGACTCTACGTCGGTCAGAAGCCAGCGTTTGGAAGCCGGCCGAAATGGGGCCGGGTTGAGCCGCCCGCCGCCGTCCGAGCAGCGCGGCCAAGGATGGAGGGGCCGGCGGAGCTCAGCCCCGAAGCCGTGCTGCGCTTCCTCTCGGAGCGCGGGGGTCGGGCCCGGCAAGCCGAACTGGTGCAGCACTTCAGGGGTGCCCTGGGCGGCGAGCCCGAGCAGCGCACCCGCGCCCGCGCCCTTTTCAAGGAGCTGGTCAATGCGGTGGCCACGGTGCGCACCGACGCTGCCGACGGCTCTAAGTACGTGCACCTTAAGAAGAGGTTCTTGGAGGGGGCCCCACCGTCCGAAGCCGTGCCCCTACGGGACCTGCCCAGTATCTCGGTGACTCCAGAGCCCGAGTCCAGCAGTTGCGCCCCTGGGGCGCCCGACGGCCTGGTCGAGACCCGGGAGAGCGGCCTGTGCGCAGAGGCGGCGTCCCCCGAGGCGTCCCCAAGTCCGCGTTGCGAGCCGAGCGATGGGGAGCCCCCGGCCGCAGCGCTTGGGCAGCCAAGCCCGGCCGGCGAGAGCCGGAACGGGCCGCCCCTGAGCGGCGGTGCCCCGAGGAAAAACTCGCGGCGAGACATGCAACCTTCCCCCCAGGGACCGGTCTCCGGGCCCAGCGAGGACCTGGCGGCCCCGCCCCACGGCTGCGGCGAAATGGACTCGGGCAGTTCCCCCGGGGGGGTAACCACCCCTAGGTCTACCCGCCAGAACCTCCGGGACCTTGTGATGGGCAGCTCCCCGCAGCTGAAGAGGAGCGTCTGTCCCGGGGGGAGCAGCCCGGGGAGCTCCTCTGGGGCAGTACGCGGCAAAGGCGGGGGCGACTCAGACAGCGCATCAGTCGCTTCGTCGTCGGCAGAGGAGGAGAGCAGCGGCGGGGGTTCAGTGACGCTGGACCCTCTAGAACACGCCTGGATGCTCTCAGCCTCTGACGGCAAGTGGGACAGCCTGGAAGGGTTGCTCACCTGCGACCCCGGCCTGCTCGCCAAGCGAGACTTTATCACCGGCTTCACCTGCCTGCACTGGGCCGCCAAGCACGGCAGGCAGGAGCTCCTGGCCATGCTGGTCAACTTCGCTAACAAACACCAGCTGCCAGTGAACATCAACGCCAGGACAAGCGGAGGTTACACTGCCCTGCACTTAGCTGCCATGCACGGGCACGTGGAGGTGGTGAAGTTGCTGGTGGGGGCTTACGACGCAGACGTGGACATCAGGGACTACAGTGGGAAAAAGGCTTCTCAGTACCTGAGTCACAGCATCGCGGAGGAAATCAAGAACCTGGTGGGAGCCCTGGACGAGGACGATGGAGAGAGTGCCACTGGCAGCGGGGGTGGGCGTTGGAGGTTTTCAAAGGTGCTCCCTTCACACCTCATCACCTACAAACTGTCACATGCCCTGGAGGATGGAGGGGATCATCACCATCACCACCACCACCACCACCACCACCACTTGACTGAGGGATGGGCTGGAGCCAAAGCAAAGGATCCAGGTCGCAAGGCCCCCGGCAGCTCTAGCGGACGAATAAAACCCAGACTCAACAAAATCCGCTTCCGCACCCAGATCATCCACACTACACCCTCTTTTAGAGACCCGGAGCAGCCACTGGAGGAGGGGGAGGAGGAAGAGGAGGATCGACCTCTTAAAGGCCACTCATCCTCATTCAAACTAAGGCCGAAGTCCAATGTATTTGGGTAAAAATAATTCCTTTTAGAAAATTCTAGGTTTATTGGTCTTCAGGAATAGAATACAGTGTAGGCAAGGAAGAGAGACCAGAAAAGAAGCTAAATTCTACATTCTTACTTGGGGAGTTGGAATGGGTGGGAGGAATTCCCCCTAGCATTCTGTGTGAAGTAGGTTTCCCAGTGATTTTTTTCATCAAACCGTGCCCTAGGCCTCTTTTCCCTATGCCACCCCTTTGCCCTGGAGTCCCTGTTTCTGAGGACTGGAAATGTATTTAAATTGGGTGTACAGAATTGATGATTGAGGGTTCCTTTGATTTTACCATTACTGGATGCCATGCAAAATAAGGAATATTGCACTTTTATGTTTCTGTTTTTAAAAGTGGTTACTCTTACAAGAGCAACAAGAAATGCAAGTTGTAATGAAATTGTAAGTGTGAACAAAATTACATACTGCTCTGGTTTTTTGTTTTTTACTAATTGCATTTACCTTTTAAAATACTACTGAAAGTCAGGTCAAAGTTGAAAAGCGACAATACTATTTAGAGAATAATGTGAATAAAAATGGTAACTTGTTTGTATTGTAAGTAGTGCTCAACTATTTTTTTAAAAAGCAATTTCAACTTTAATCACTGAACTAAAGAAATAGGCAACATTCATTTTTGAGGTAATCTATAGTGTGGTTTCCTCTTAACTATCTCTAGTATCACTGCAGTCAGTGCTAAGGTACATTATTAATAACTACACATTTTTATTTAAAGAGAACACTTAACCTATGGTACTTTTAAGTAAAACATTGCCTTTGGCTCTGATTCTCACTAATTTGTTTTGTTATTATAAGTAAATTTGCCAGAGTTTTAATTCTAGGGATCATATAACCGTTGGTTCTATTTGACATGACCCTATTTGGTGGTACTTAGATGTGAATTGCCTACAGAATCTGTTTCTGATTTAGACGACTAGCAAAAATTGGCATAAATGTTAGTGAGCCTATGCTTCTGTGAAGTAATTATTAAATCAATGATTCTCACATAAGGTACACTTTTTATTTTACTAATAAAGTACACTCATAGTCTGTGCTCATAGTCTGTGCTTTGTAGCAATGTTTGCAAATGTTTATAATACTAAAGACTTTCAATTTTCCAATGTTTCCTTGAATTTGTTAGAGATGTACAGTGAAGTTATTGAAAAGCTGGATAGTAAATCTACCCAGTTAAAAATAGCACTTTATAAAAGGGAAAAGAGAAGAGATGGGGCTATTTATTTAAATGCTGCTGGCTATTGAATTCTTTTGTATATAAGTGAAAAATACTTTTCATTAAGATTACAGAGTTAAGTGTAGTTCTTAATCACATTTCATTAAAATTTGTTAGGGTAAACATCTATATAATATAAAATTTAACTCACAAGCATATTAAATCAATTTGTAACAATATTCAAAACAACTTTGTGGGAGACTAATTCTAACAAGTCCTTCTCCCTTAGTCTTTTTGGTCTCCTAACTGCTGAAGTGTAAGTACCTGCAGCCCATAGAGGTATATAAGATGTGTATAAATGTGAATGAACAGGTATATAAATGGCGCAGAACTGGAGACTCAAGAGAGTTCTTAGATCTTTACTTTCCCAAGTCAGAGAAATTTGTACTAAGTTTGTCAGCCTTTCTAGATAGCAATTGAATTTGTTTAAAGACATATCAAAAATATTCACATAAAATATATAAGCTATTATCCATTTGTGTGCCTTTTTTTTTTTAGGATTATGGAAGTGTTCTAGGTACATTTGAGAAGCACTTTTATCCATACATATGGGTAAAAACAGTCTAATTTTATATAAATAGAGGTTCCTTGAAGGTGAAAAGCAGTCATTTGTTTGGAATCATATACACATTACCTGTATCTAGTGCAGAGCAAGCTATATAACTTCCCACCGAGGAATCTGACATTTCTTTTTTTTTTTTTTAAAGATTTTATTTATTTATTTGACAGAGAGAGACACAGCGAGAGAAGGAACACAAGCAGGGGGAGCGGGAGAGGGAGAAGCAGGCTTCCTGCAGAGCAGGGAACCTAATGTGGGCTCCAACCCAGGACCCTGGAACCATGACCTGAGCCGAAGGGAGGGGCTTAACAACTGAGCCACCCAGGTGCCCCGGAATCTTACATTTCATTGACATATAAAGCTAAGTGAACTATAAAAAGTATATACTTCAGAGCCATCTAAATGTTCTATTAAAGTCAGTATTAATCTCGAAATGTATATATTCGTAACTAATTGCACAAAATCTATAATTTACTGGATCTTTAGAGATTGAGTCAATACTTCATTTAACCTGCTTTTCACAGTAAAGATTTTAACTTTAACAATAAACTCTAAATTTTCAAAATCATTCCTGAGGGGAACTACTTCTAGCATTCCTTGTCATTATGTGCTTGTGTGCAATAAGTATAGCATTTTCAGCTACTTAAACTCTATATTCCTCTTATTTTTCATTTTCCAAATTGAGATTATTAAAAGCAAATGATCTGTGTAATTTGTTTTTGTGGAGTTGTTTCTGCCATTAATGGAAATATATATGTAATTACTTAGATGTTTGTTGATATGAAACTGTGTAGGGTAGACAACCCAAGTATATCCATGTGTTTCTTATAGATACACTTGAAACTAGTGAGTGTTTGGTCACAATTCTCTACCCTTTTATGGTATGTAAAATGCAGCTAGTTTATATAACTTGAAAATCTGGTACTATTTTATTCATGACTGAAATCTTGGGAGTCCAGGATGCCTCCTCTCTTATTTTTTAAATGAGTGAAACTTTGGGAGTTTATAGAGTGTATAATTTGTAAAAGTTTGTTTTGTCAAAATAAAAGGTTCACACTACATTTTTTCTCTGAATTGTCTAAATCATTGTAGTCCTTTATACTTCTTACCTGTGTAGTGTTTTATAGTCCACACAATGCTTTTCAAAGTTTCCATTTACATAATCCCTTTCCTGTCCCTTAAAGTTGATAAGGGAATGAAGGTTGATGGCTGTTCAGGGTCACGAAGTAAATGGCAGCTAGTAAGATTTTAAGATTCCGTGCTTTTCTACAATATTTTCAGCACTTCAAATTGCCAAATTTGGGCAAAACTACTGTAGTTTGGCTTCAGTGATGGAGGAATCAACTTGGACAGAAGGTAGTACCTTCACCACTACCTTTAAAAAAAACAAAAACAAAAAACGTATAGTTCATGCACACACCAACTAACCTGAACCCTTCCTACCCAGACCAGATCTTAAAGGTATAAGAATGCCTTTTTCTATTTTCTTCAATATTCATTAAGCTTTGATCATTAATGAGCTCATTTCCTCACCAAATAAATACTTTGATCTTTATTTTAACAAAATTCACCTCTATTCAGATGTCAAAGGGATATGTGGGAAGCCTTGATGTACTTGTCTGCCATTGCTCTCCTGGGAGGATCCAATTATCATTGCTGCTGGGGATTTTTGTTGTCACTCTTGCTTTGTGACAACTTATAAAATATTTTTCCGTACAACTGAAGGACTAAATAAGTCTAGTTTCTGTTTCTAGAATGACTTGAAGGAAACCAACAATACATCATCCATTTTCCTTGCCATAAATTAACCAATTTTTAACCCAATGAATCTAAATTTTGATAACTCATTTTGGAATAGAAATTAACTTGCCTTTGCTGTATTACAAAGGGTGATATTTATGTTTTAAAGAACAGGATCTTTAAGGATATTTGCCCCTTGTTTGCAAACTGCTCTTAAAAATGAGTCACCTCCTATAACTTTGACACCCAGTTAACAACATATGGGCTTCAAATGAATAAAAATGCCTTGCTTTAATTTATTAACTATTTTTATTTTAAAAATGTAATGTATGCTCACGGATTTCAACAAATGACAGGATAGAACCAGATAGGCGGAAAAGTAAACACTACTCATTTCACCCCATTTACATTCCCCAGCGTAACTCCAACTTAATGGTTCCTTCTGTATTTTTGGGTATCTGACTTTTCTTTAATTAAGCTATCCTCTCTCCTTGGTCTAAAATAATTCATTCAGTTTTTACTGGGTTATACCTAATACAAATATTGAAAAAGTGAAAAAAAGCTAGTATTTAGATTCTCGCCTAAGGACACCTTAACTCTAAGGCTTCAGAATTTACTTGTTACTTGTTACAGCTTGGATACCACAGGAAGCTTCACTAAGATGCTCACTTGTTCAGTCTCCACGTGCCCACTGCCAGTCCGCAGCACCCTTTCTGGAGGGAGATTTGCAAATGAAACATCGGACCATGCCATTCCTAGGCTTTGGACTGACAAAGTTTTCACAGTCTCCCGGGGTCCACTTTCTTCTTTCTGGCCTCATCTCCTGCCGCTCCCCTCCCTGCCTCCCACCTCACTCTGATAATGCTTTCAATCCACCTTGCCAATTTCATAAACATTTTTTCACTCTCCTAAACTTTCCTTCAGGTCTCCTTCTGAAGCCATCTGCAAGTTACCTGAGGAATGTACTTGAGGTCTGCTCTTCTTTTCCTTCCCTGTGTGTGTTTGGGGGAAAGGGGGAGGTAGTTAACGAGTATGGTCTAGGCATGTGTAATTCTTATGCTGACTGGTCAGATTCACTCTCTCCTTGTGTCCTTGCATACATCTCTATCTCTTGGGTATACACATAACATCTATTCAGATTTGGGCTGCACTGAAGTTAAGCTCTTAACTAACTAGCTCTTAACTCTTAACTGCAGTGATATTTTGGTAAGCAAATGAACAGAGTAAAGAAGTACTTAAAGGAAACGTTGGTAGGTGAAGACTGTAAACCATCACCATGTGCCTCTCATTTGAGGTGAATACTACCATTAGCGTAGGATATTGAGGAGAGAATTCTGAACTGAGTGGAAAGTTGGACAGGATAAACTTTTAAAAACATTTTAATCAGAAAATTCTGTGATACAGATGCTTATTCTCATACCCCAGCCTAGCTGCAGGTAGTCATTAACACTGGAACCTATGTTGAAGCAGAAATTTGTCAGCCTAGTTTGAATTTATACATGGAAATGAATTGCATTTATAACATCTTATAATTCAGATTTTTCATCAGTTCATGTTATCTGAATGAAACTAGGTCAGTCACCCAAATCAAACTAGAAATATAGTAAATTTAAAGATAGTGACAGGGTGCCTGGGTGGCTCATTTGGTTGAGTGACTGCCTTCGGCTCAGGTCATGATCCTGGAGTCCCGGGATCGAGTCCCGTATCGGGCTCCCTGTTCAGCGGGGAGTCTGCTTCTCCCTCTGACCCTCTTCCCTCTCATGTTCTCTATCTCTCATTCTCTCTCTCTCAAATAAATAAATAAAATCTTTAAAAAAATAAAGATAGTGACAAGAAATTATACAAAAACAATATAGTGACTTTACAGTAACAATTTGAGAAATAATATTAAATAGATAATGTTTTAAGGGGGAAAAGTCTTAAAACATAGAAAATCTTTTTTAAAAAGATTTTATTTATTTATTTTGAGAGAGTGAGCATGAGCGGGAGAGGGAGGGCAGAGGGAGAAGGAGAAGCAGGTTCCCCATTGCGTCCG